GACATGAAATGGAAGCCAGGGTTGGGTGTCAAGTGCTTTCAACAGAGTCATCGGGAAGAAAAATATATGAATAACTAGAAGGGATTCACAGGTATGTCAATTAGAAGGAAAAAAAAAAGTCGTTTCTTAGGCTATTCAGGGCCTACACAAACGCAGAAATGATGAGATATTCCTGCAAAGGTGCCATCTGGTCCTGCTGGTCAGCAGACCTGAGATCCTGGGGGAACAGATTGAGTCAAAGTCAGCAAAATAACACTTAACATAATTTTGTTTTCATTTCTAAAGTGACCCAAGGAGGAGGTTTGCCCTTTGGTGTTGAAGAGGGCCAGACAAGGTTCTGCCTCCTGCCTCGCCCTTGGCTTTGGTTCAGCAGGAGAGCCTGGGCGAGCCAGGGAGGCAGTGGGCACTTGCTGTCCTTGACTGTCCACCCAGAGAGGATCGGCAGACTATCTGCCTCTAAAGGACCCCTGGGGACCCGACTGCAGAAAAGGATAGTTCCTAAGTCAGGTTTATCCCAGTTTCGGCACAGAAAAATCCCACATCCTGGGAAAACCGTTTAGTCCGGGTGCAGCTGGTCACCCTACAACTGGCAGAGCTGGGCGGAGAAACCTCCCCCGAGGGCAATGCTTCTAAGACTTTTAATAACAGGGATGTCTAACATTCCATTTAAAGATATTTGCTGTGCTGAACTGGAATGGAATGCCCCCTCTGGTTGCTCTAAACCATCAATACAGTTACTTCTACACTCACCCTTGGTGGGGGAGGGGTGGGGAACGAGGCTAGAGTGTGCTCCTAGTGAATTAAACTAAACTCACCAAACCTGAACTAAATCCACTGAGCTACATCTCAGAGGAGCTCAGTGTCTTGTCAAAAGTCATACAGATAGCAAGTGGCAGAGGCGGGGTTAGAATTAAAGTCGGTCTGATTCAATACCTGCGCTGTTCCCCTACCCTTGACCTGCTCTGGGATGTCCTAATACTGCCAAGGCCCCAGAAACTCCAAGGGTCTGTGAGTGGGAGCTCCC